GACAGCTGATAAAAAAAACTGACCACCTGTGTCGCCGTCCGCACGTAACTGTAGCTATAGCGACGTTCCTCCATTTATCCCAGTGTGTTAACTCCGGTACACATTACCTAGAGGCTGGGTGAACCCCGGGAACCGCCCGGTTTCGAACACCGGCCATGAGCTGCAGCGAGTCACAGCTGGATTTGCAAGCGAGTCTCTTATCCACTGCGCTAATGCGGCACCGCAGAATTAAACAAACAAAAAAGATTTAATAAACAATGCTCAAGACTTACCTGTGAAATTAAATGCACCATGGTGCAGACCCTTAAAGCGATCTCGGATGTGACAAATTTCTGCTGTGAAGAAACACTCCTAAGTATTTCATTGTTACTTAAGATTCAGGCTTGAGTTAAAAGCAAAACGGAGCACGTATGGGTTACATGGTTGCCATAATGTTGATCCGTCAAATTAACATACATTCAAGACCAGTTGCAGCAACACAAGAGTCTCTACCTGAGACTATATGTAAACATGGCTACATTCCACAGAGTGTCTGTCTGGGCGATATCCTTACAGGGTGTGTTGTGGTGTCTTTTCTATGAATGCTGATTTCATCTGAGCGTAGAACCGACACCATAGTACTCGGAATATTCCCATGAGCTCCCCGTCCCCATTGTCAGCAGCAGCGCAGTTCCCGATCCGAAGATACCAGCATCAGTCTGACTGTATATCCGCCTCGCCTGTCCCGCATGTTTTTAGCGTCGGTCAGATCAAGGCTTGTTATTCAATCAGTTGGGTGTCGTCTCAACAATGAAGATTGGCAGCGATGGATCTCTAACACGCACTGTCCTTTCCCCTGAATGCACACTATCTTAGACTCCTGTTCGTCCATCTCCTGGAGAAAGCCTTGGTCAGATCCTCTGGTCTCCCCGCAGCACACTTCTTTCCAGACATGTGTTTATCGCCGGCAATTTTCCTTTTTTGCCTGTCAAAAATTTCTGGTTAAGCAGAATCCATTATCACGAATTTGTAAACATGCTAAAGGATTAAACATGTCCTGACTATTCAATTTGATCTGCTTAAGGCAAATTTTTCTTCAATTACCTGGAGATTTGTCAAATGTTTCGGCTGTTTTCTAAAATTGCATACTTTGTCAGTATAATTTCAGCATTTTGCCTCTAAAAATGTATGGAAAGTTAAAATCCAAATCTTTCAAGAGAAAGTTTGAGCTATTGCAAGAGGCAGACAATGGCGGCAAACAGAAAATGGAAATAGCAAAGGAACTCGACATTCCAAAATCAACACTTTCATAAAAACTGAATCAGTGCTGAAATGCTGTAAATGCATTTCCATATGCTTGAACGCTTACCTGGATAAGATTAATTTCTGATGAGAAGAACTATTTATCGGTTTCCTGGTAAGTTCTCCTTATCAGGTATGCATTGTAATCAACTATTTCCCAAATAGTTAAGATCTGCAGAGACCTCGTAATTTTTTTAAGTCTGCAATTAACCTAATATGAGGCGCATTTTTTAAGTAAGTCTCGTTTTGACCCCAGCGACAAACATAGATAAAGTACGTAAATGGCCATATTTGGTATGTTTGTGCGGTTTATTAGCTAGCTGTGTGTAAGTTATCACTGTCGAAATCTTGTCCGATGCTGTGTGTGAGAGATTTGTAATGAGTGCAAAAACAAATACTTCCGCCTGCTGCGAGGTTCGTGCTCTGATCTGGTTTTTGTTAGCAAAAAACAACAGTGCTGCAGACATTCACAGACAACTCAGTGAGGTTTATGGGTCACATGTTATGACTAACAGTATGGTTAGGAAATGGTCTCGAATGTTTAAAGAAGGGTGAACAAATATCCATAATGAAGATCGTAGTGGTCAGCCGAGTGTGGTGACAGACGATATGGTCGAAGAAGTGAGCCCCAAAAAAATCAGGAAAATCATCATTTCAGCATTGCTGAAGTTTCACGTTCACTTATTTAGGACACTGTGACAAGAAACCTTGTTTACAAAAAAACTGCCATCCAAAACAAAAAAACTCTGGAATTGTGCTTTTGCACAATAATGCTCGGCTTTACGTGGCAGATGGAACTGTTCAATGGTTGCAAAAATTTCGCAGGGAAATTGTTGATAACCCATCCTACAGCCCCGATCTGGCGTCAAGGGATTTTATCACATTTTCATGCTCCTAAAGAACAGGTTGGCATCCCAGCAGTTTGAAACTGATGATGAACTGCAGACAGGCATTAATGAATGGTTCAAGGCACTGGCGGCAGACTTCTATGACATTGGAGTTAAGAACCCGGTGCCACGATAAAAAAAAATGTGATGAAGTCAATGGTGACTATGTTGAGAAATAATGTGAATGTGTGGTTCACTTCTGGCAGCAATAAATCATTTTTGTACAGGTGGTTTTTTTTATTCTCAACCAGGACTTACTTAAAAACCCGCCACACTTTTTAAAGTCTTAGTGAAGAAACTATAATTTAGTGCAGACCTGATAAGGAGAACTCACCGGGAACCCAAGAAATGGTTCTTCTTGTCAGAAAATTCCTTCTATCCACATAAGAGTTCAAGCAACAACAAAATTTGCAGGGGATAAACAAACTTCAAAACAGAAATTCGAGATCACCTTGAGCGGCCTCACTGTATTAGAACCACAAAAAGAATTACATTTTAAAGTTTATATTTTATTTGAAATAGGCACGGGAGGCGAAGTACCAGACCTTCAGGACAACCCAGAGTTCACTGGGAAGACAACATCCGACCGTCCCTGACTGACAGAGGACTTGAATGCGTGACTGATACAAGTTCTAGCACGTATACCAAACAAAAATGTTTGTGTCTTAACAGGACATGTACCCAATTAGACTTATTAGAAACGGACGTATACCGAGGTACCATCGTACACTGAAGATAATTAATCTCCAAGATAACTATGTGTAATGACGGTTCCATTCTCCAAGATGTGCAAATGATGACCGAAAATCAGGCGAAGGTCAACATTTGTTAGCTGAAACGGGACAATCATCTGATAAGTAGCGTGTATATTCCTAGCCACACAGGAACTAGAGGTTTGACCAGACTGGTGCCACACAGGAACTAGAGGTTTGACCAGACTGGTGCCACACAGAAACTAGAGGTTTCACCAGACTAGTGGAGACATTACAGATGTCCTAATTATAATTTTTTTGGTAGGCTGAAGAGGGTATCTGGATTTTGATCTGTTGGTCTGCCATGTGAAGTGATCCTGTGTAATCTCAGAGTGGTAAACTTTCAGGTAGCCACCCAAAGGGTGAAAACTGCATTCGCGCACAGAAAAGCATCTCTTTTTATCCAATGTCTGTTCGTAGAACGACTCTTTATGGTGTAGAGAAACAAGAAATGTGATGCATGTATAACACAAATAATTTACACAATATTTTATTTCATTTTTTTAAAAGAAATCTACAAATGGTCATCTCAATATTCATTTTGAAAAAACAAAACACCTACTATATTAAAATGAAAACCTAAATTAAGTGTGATAGAAGTGTATGAGTGGGGTTGTTTGTATGCATTATTTTTTCAATTCTGGAGTAAGCTGTGTGGCACACATACTGCAGACTGTCTGGATACTTCTGTGGTACATGGTGGATGATGTGGTGTGAGGAACCTTGACTGATGTCAAGATGTGTGGTACTGTCACTTACAGTCAATCTGTATGCGGCCTTTAACGGCTGTGGTAACCTCTGGAGTCACTACTCGTTGTACCACACCCAGTCCTGAACAGTCTGTCACAGAAGTAACTCGTTTTGAAACTTCCTGCTCTATTCATACATTCGTTAGACTGACAGCATGCATCATGACAATGGACTTTTGTTTATCAGTAAATTTCAATAGATTTCACCCCTTCTTGATTTTTTCTTTAAAAGTCTGACAGAATGCTGTCCCTCTTTGGTGCCTGTCAAAAGTGAGGCAGACATCTTCGAACTGTCATTATGACATCACTGAGTTTTCTTCTGCACTGCAATGTCATGCACTTAACACTTTTGACATCCTTTACAAGAAAACTGACAGGTTATAGGACAATGGCATGGTTAGTGTCATCTCTATCACACTGTTGAGGTTTTCATTTGAAGCCCCCTCGTAGAATATGAAAGTATAGAAGTCTTTTAGATATCTGGAGAAAAGTAATCTCAACAAGAGCAATATGGAATGATGAGACTATGCTCCCACTCCCACAGCAAATTAAAGATGGTAATAAACTGAAATGAGGTGGACATAAGTAAATAATGAAAGAAAATACACCAGAGGCCGACAATGTCAGTCTCTAGCCCCACTCTTGTTTTGGGGAAACAAGAAACGAGATGCATGTAAAAACTCACATACAATTAACAAAGTATTCTTTTTTTTAAATGAAATTAAAAATCTTCATCTTAATGTTCATTACAACAGAAAAAACAAGAATGCACAATGAATAAATGGCAGTCAGATTCATCATATAGTTCCTATGAAATAATACTACAAAGACAAGTTGTGATCTCATCACATGCCGAGACATGGTTGCACACTGCAGGAGCAGCTCAAGCAGGGCTTTTCCCCAGTAATAGGCAACGGTTTGAAGTACTAGAACCAAATTTTTGGGGTACTGTGACAGACACTCTGCGGTGAGTACCAACAGCTTTTTAGATACTTTCTACTGAGCATTGGCAATTTTTTTCTATTAAAACAGCAAGCTATGTTTGTGACCAAATATTTCTAATAAGACACATCAGCAAGTGTAGCAGACGAGAACTATGACTCCAAAAGGCCACCTGTATCCATAGAACCACTAATGCATTTTGTCACCAAAAAATCATCAGGAAGCTTTGAAACATAGGTCAATCAAAAGACACAGAGGAAATTTCTGAGGAGAATCAGAACAATTTTCGATCATTTAAAGACATTCAGGCAAGTTCATGGACGCTACCTCAATGCTCCCACTTCCTGCTCTGGTACCACATTCTTCTGAAGGCTGCCAGGGCTTTGTTGTTACCGTCCCTTCGCAGTGCCCTGAAAAAGTCCTATATTTTGCTGCATGTTTTCCTGGTTCCCTCCACTACCACTCTCTCTCTTAACCCTCTTCTGTTTATGCCCTGCTGGTTTCCCAAACCCTAAAGGACGTGACCCACCACCATTCATTATCTGCTCTGTTTCCCCGGGTCCCATAGGAAACATCCCCAGTTTTCGTGGACTCTTTTCCTTCTTTCGTTTTCCCACACCTTGAATACCCAATCCCATTTTGGGCCCTCTGTTGTTATGACTAGGAAAGTGTTTGCTCTGCTCAATGTTATCTCCAACCCCTTGTCGACCCTCCTTAAACAAGTTATCTGCCTCACCAAATCCCCTTCTATGCATCCCTGTGTTCTGATTCTGAAAACCACCATTACAATCATTTACATTTTGAAAGCATTCATGATTCTCTTGCATTCCCCATTGGTTTCCTTGATTAAATCCTCCACCTAACTGATTGTTAATCACACCCCACTGATTTCCTTCATTGTTAATCACACCCCACTCGTTTCCCTGATTATTAATCCCACTCCACTGGTTTCCCTGATTATTAATCCCACTCCACTGGTTTCCCTGATTATTTTCTCCACCCGACTGGTTTCCTTGATTATTCCCTCCGGCCCACTGATTTATTTGATTATTCCCTCCACCCCATTGGTCCCCTGGATTATAGCCACCACACCACTGATTATCCACCTTATCAATTTCACCCCACTGGTTTCCTGGATTATTCCCTCCATTCCATTGGTTCCCCTGATTATTCCCCCCATTCCATTGGTTCCCCTGATTATTCCCCCCATTCCATTGGTTCTGTTGATTATTCTCACCACCCCACTGATTCCCTTGATTATTCTTTCCACCCCATTGGTTCTCTTGATTACTTTCTCCTCCCCATTGGTTTCCCTGATTATTCCCACTATCCCATTGGTTTCCCCAATTATTTTCACCACCCCATTGGTTTCCCTGATTATTTCCACCATCCAACTGGTTTCCCTGATTATTCCCACCACCCCACTGGTTTCCATTAGCACCTTCTCCCCACTGGCTTCCTTGATTATTCCCACCACCAGGGAATTCTGTCCCACACACACCCTCATTATCAATAAACCCACCACTGTAGTCACCTCCACCTTGTAAACCTTCATTGTTGTGCCAGTCCCCCCACTGATTTCCTGTATCCTCATTATTCCATAAACCACCGAATCTCAATCCATGTTGAGTGTGAAAACCATTAGGGTTTTTACCAAAGTTCAGAAAACATTCATTGTTGTCATGAACTCCCCACTGATTACCTATGTCCTTGTTATTTCTGAAACCTTTTGGTGGTACTCGTGGTTTCATGTTTCCATTAGGAAAATTCTTCCTTCCAATGAAATCATTCTCTTCATGATCAAAATTACCATCTGGGCGTTCAAACTCTTGAGAACCATCATTGCTGTGAGGACCCCGAGCATATTGATTGTTTCTAAACTCATCATTCATGCCGTTCCCGTTTTGGAAGCGCAAATTTCCTAATCTAGGGTGGCCAATTCTATTCTGTTTACCTGGTCCTGAGGCACTGAATCCTGGTCTAGGACCACCGAATCCTGGTCTAGGACCACCGAATCCTGGTCTAGGACCACCAAATCCTGGTCTAGGACCACCAAATCTGCTGCCTAAAAGAGGTCTCATAGGATTTCCTTGCAATGGCTGAGCTGCTTGGTTGAAGATAGGGGGCCGACGGCCGGTGAGACTTAGAAGAGGCACGGGTGCTTCCCCTAGAAGACCAGGGGTTGGCAAAAGACCTTTGCTTGTGTTCTTCCCACTGCTGTCTTTATCATCCTCCTTATCTTTCCCACCACCTTTGCTGGCAGTTTTCGATGAAGCTGGCCCACCTGATGCCAACTGTGACTCAGCACCTTCATCAAAACCAGGTGGCACCAGCAAATACCTGGCAGTCTCTCCCCCACTGACCATGACATGATGAAACAACTCGACTGCCGTCCGTTTTCTACTGACGCATAAATATCTCTTTCGGCCCTTACCCCGACACTTACTGTTCAAATTCAAACGGCGGCACTCATCATGGATGACTTGCCTCTCATTCAAACGGAATTCATAAGAAAACACAAGATCTTCCTGATCACCAGAAGACGCATAGTTCTCAATCACTTGCTTTACTCGCCTCTTATACTCCTCTGTGATTTCCTTCTTAGCACTAAGACCTAAACCTTCGCGGTTGAGTACATTACTCAGAGAAACTGGTTCAACAATTCCTGAACCATGTTTCCCCACACCACCTCCATACCAGCCCATTTTACGAAGAAGCCTATTTCCAACATTGTCGTCACCTATAACTTCATCCGACTGATCATACAGCTCGTTTAACATATCCTCTTTGCAAATCTTATTATGTGAATCAACTTCTTTCTTAGTTTTTATCACCCAACATATATCTTTTAGTTTCTGCAAAGCCTTAGAAGCTGCCATATTCTTTGCCGCCATTTTGGAAGGGCCGTTGACATCAGCCAGTACATTGCTTTCGATCTTCACGACACAGCGAGCAGCATCTCCCTTGAAAAAGTACTCGTATTCCAGAAGCATGTGATTGAAGTCGGCACTTCGACGGAGTGTGTGTGCTGGAGTGCAGTCTGGAGTAGGAGTAAATGGCTCCACAATCACAAAATCCTCCACCGGCTTCTGCTCATCCAGACGCCGTTTTAGACATCCAGATTCCAGGTTTGATTCCTTCTGCTGAGAAGAGATCTCCTTGATGGTGTTTGTCTTTGGGGGAGCCACTGGAGTGGAAGGTGGAGGTTTAGCTACACCTTTCTGTAGCGGCACTGGAGAAGGTTCAGGAGGAGGTGAGAGAAAAGGTTCCATTGAGGCTTCAAGTTCGCTGCTTTCAGGGTCAACTTTATTAATTCGGACATGAGGCATGAGAATCTTCTGTAAAGCTGCCTCGTATGCATTTGTCTTAGCATCTTTGATTTTCAAACCTCTGCCTGATCCGACAGAAACTCGATCTACAAACACATAGCATAGATAAGTACTGTTGCTCCTGAAAACGGTTACAGCTTCTGTGCTGAATTCAACTCGCACAGGGACCCTGTTTGCTGCAGAGTGGAGCTTATCCTTAGCATTAGGACGAGCAGTTTTCAAAGCAACAACTTCATACGCCAATTTTTTCAATTTCTGAAGCTGAACATCTTTCTCACCTTTCCAGGCAGCGAGATATTCTTCCTTGCTGAGAATCGGCTTCGCCTCTGGCGTGGGTGGGAATGAAACTGGTGATGGTGGTGGTGCCTTGTTGGCTTCGTTCTTTTTGTTGGCGGGGCGTGCAGTTTTGCTGCCCCCAGTACGCGCTAACGCTGCAGAAGGTACACTACTACTTGGCGGTGCTTCTCCCGGCCGCACAAACACCATACCAAAAAATGCTTTCCCTGCACCATAACTGGTTTTGACTCCTTCACTTTTTTGGCTAGCAGTCTTTGATCCTGCACCTAACGAAGCAGGTTTGTCTATACCCGGGCCACAACCAACAAACTGTGAAACAGGATTCTTAATACTGTCATCAGATTTAGACACGGTACCATGCTGAGAATCTGTCTGCTTGTCCATACCTGGACGGCTGCCTAACAACTGTGCACTTGTCTGTGAGACAAAACTACATTTTTGGCCGGCATTCTGTGAATCTGAATCTGAAGAAACCTGCTTGACCATACTCGTGAGCTGTGTAGCAACATTCTGAATATTGTCATTAGATGTAGACACGGTGCCATGTTGAGAGTTTGTGGTGTCTGTGATGTTTGATGTGGAAGTTGCTGATGAAGCTGTGGCTGCATCAGATGATTTTACTACTCCACGTTCTAAGACTTTATTAACTCCAGTAATCTCCACATGTGGAGAGGTATTCTCTTCTTTAACTGTGGTAATCTCTAAATGTCCAAGAGTATTCTCTCCTTCAAGGCTGGTAGTCTCCACCTGTCCAGCAACTTCTGCCTCTTCTTCAACAACGGTAACCTCTGCACATTCAGAGGTCAGCTCCTCTTTAACGCTGGCAAGCTGTGCTGTGGCCATACTTTCTAATAAATATCCCCCGTCCTTGTGTCGAACTACCTGTAAACAAAAAATTTACAAACATTTCAAAATACAAAGAAAAAAGACAAACACAGTAGTGGTCAAAAGTTTAGGACCACCTAGTGAATAGCTGAATTGTCCATACCGGTACAGTGTGTTGCTCTACTTACTGATAGTTAGTGCCCACTAAAGGCAATTTTTGCAGTTATCATTGAACTTAAATAGCAGTTGATGCATTACTCCATAGCAGGGCGGAAACAATTATGACTAACTAGGTGGTCTTAAACCTTTGGCCATCACTGTAATACATTTTCTGAAAGATAAGGAACATAGTCAAGTAAAGGACTCTTTCGGCACATCTGGCCTATAATGCTAGACCTATATTTCTAAAGACCACCTGGTTCTCAATGGGTGATGTAGTCAACATGCTGTCAGCTGCCTTTACCTCCCAGGTCATTATATATTAGCCATTTTAGGCTGAGTCGACCCGGGAGTCATGGTCAGTTTTGAAAACAAAAAAATCTGCCTCTAAGAGGATGTGGACAACTGACCTCTGGGCCAGCAGGTCAACAAAGAACACATTCAGCAACAGAAAGCTGGTGATCTCAATGAGAAAAATAACTAGTATTGAAATCGATACTTCACTGTGTGAGTTCTGGGGCCTCATTGTGGGGGAAAGGGGGGGGGGGGCCCACTGCCTCCCCATTTCTTCCACAAGGGACAGTGATGGACTGTGTTTTTCGTTAGGACAGGAACGGAGCAAATATGGGGTGACCCATTTGATATGAAGCTGAAACTAAGATTACCACTTATTAAGACTCACTGCCTTCCCAATAAACATATTTTAAAAGTCAACTAACTGGGGGGCATCCTTTGAAGTCAGACAGCATCTGCCTGCAAGACAAGGGACCAACAATCTGCATACAACTGATGCAGATTCGTATAGCAGATGTGCATGCAACACTCAGATTCTAGATCAAGACTAAAGTCTAGAGATGGAAAAACAACCGGAACATTCCACCACAATTTACAAGTGGTGACAGCTCAAAGGGAGAAGATATTAAAAAAATAATAAAAACTGCTCCCAGTGTGCGTTCCAGGGCACCATTTTGAAAAAGAAAAAAATTATAAACCCACTGCTTCCTAGAAAAAGAAGTTATAAGACTAAACAATTTGCTGAAATCGGATGCATGGGGGGGAAAGGGGTGCAGTGCAAGATATTGTATTGCAAACTGGCTGTAAACCACACAACACGTTGATCCAGACAGTCAACAGCAACCGGTGACCCAATGTGATAACATGAAGTATTTTGGAATTGTGATTTTCACGGCAGAAGGAATAGAAGCAATAAACAAGCTGAATCTAGGATAAAAAGCAGCATTTCATATAACGAAGAATGTTTCCGTATTTGTGTTACTGGAGAAAAGCTCTTAAAAACTCTATAGAGCAGAGATGTACAGAAGTGACAAACAGAATGAAGACTGATGAGAAATTCTGTAGAAGCTACCAAAGATATGGTTGATTTTAAAACAAAATTTCGTTTTTAAATATCCAGAAACCATAGGTTGTAAACCCTTTGGCTCGATACTATGGTCATCACAACCCTTCGGCCTTGATTCTATGATAGGTACTGTAAATCTGGAAGATATGTGCCTTTTCTGCCTACCCCCGTGGTGTGAACTGGACCACAAAGAGTTTGTCACCCGGTCACCGTGCAGTCAGGTTTAACCAACTGAGCTAGCGCGCCAGGCGAGATATGGTTGACAGAAGAGTTATTAGAATAATCCCCATCATCATGTGCCATACTGATAAGCAAAGTTGGCCATGTTTCACCATATTCCTCCTAATTCATTATCAATATTAATAGCTCTTCATTTTTTTTTCTGACAGACCCTGTCTAAAATTTGCACAAGGCAATGTCCTGGGAAATAAAGGTGACCAGCATGATGTCAGCCACATCACCCACTGAGTGCTGACCAGTCTAAAAACATATGAGTCTAGTGTCATTTGCCAGAGGTCAATGGTGTAAACAGTGTCATTAAAAACAAAGAACAAAAAAAAAAACCAGTATTTGTTGAAACTGGAAGTGTTGGGCCGACAGCACAAACACCGCAGCTTAGCTGCAAACAATAATATAACATGCCAAAGGTCCTCTGAAGGGTGAACGCTGAAGAAGAAGACTCATACATGATAATAATATGGCCTATTATGAAGGAATAACACTCCACAACCAAAGTGCAGTATCTGACATTCAACTACCTACATTTGTAACTACAGTTTTATAGAAGTAATCTTTCTATAACATTTCTTACCTACAAGTAAGACAAACAGAGCAGCTTAATGTGAACCTCTCACAAAGGACTGCTTATACGCCTGCTGTTTGTCTAACTTCTTCTCCTGCTCAACCTCCTCCAGTATACCGTTGCTTCTCTCACGGATCTCCTGCATGACACCACTCGGGTAAGCGCAGCCATACACAGCTACATTGATGAAACATCGTGAAAGGCAAACTAGTCTATTCAGAGGAAGACTATCTACATTAGACGCTAAGAACTTCCTGCGTAGCCTCCATTCTGCATTGCTTTCGAATTCGTCTTTCAGACTATCTATGCTAACATTTGAAGCCATATTCTGCTGGTTTGCCGATTGTCTGCCCATGACAATTATATCACACTGCTACAAGATGCATCTGGAAAATAAGACAGTCTTTTAAAAATTAAATTTACTGCCATTTTTTAAAAACATGGTAAGGATTTAATGAGAAATAATTTCTATGGGCGAAATACGCCAAAGGCTCAGTGCCACCACTGTCCATTTATAAAATCAGAGACAGTAATAACACAATCTATATTAACTTCTTTGCAGCATTCTAGGCTTTTAAGATTTGTTGCTGCAGACATCACCTGGCTCCATTCATTTGTGGTTGGCCTTCTGCTTCCAGTAGGTGACTCCAAGTGTTTACAGATCTATCTGGTAATGACTTCTCTAAAGTCTTCTTGGTCTGCTTCACATTTTTTTACTGCAGTTTTTGTCTGCTATCTGCCACACTCCAACCATTGCAATCTATTAGCCATAATGATGCCAGTAGTTAGAGGTGATTTCAACCGATTTTGAATTTAGTAGGTTCCAAAGATTTAACACAGGTTTTTTTTTATCTTTTTTGTTGTACTCCATGTTTCAGTCATTTATCTGACACTTAAAAAATGTAATACAATGTAGCTGTTTCTGCTGATAAATGTAGGCACAAACCCAGTAGTAATACAATGTATCACCTTCTACTGATTAAAAAAAAAAAAAAGCCAGAAAAAAATACAACATATATAGCATGAAGGTAAAAATTGCTTGGCAGAATTCCAAACTGCTTCATCAATATTAAAATGAGATTATGTCAAAGGCGGCTTCAGAGTATATAGGCTCTCTTAACAAAATGTATATTTCATTCATAAAACAAAGTAAACATAATCAAATGTCAGATACTGCCACTGAGGTGTGAAGTGTTAGACTACATATTCTAGACCACACACAAAAATTGACTACAGTACTACAGCCACAACACAATTTACCAACACCACAAATTTAAAATAATTAACTAGGACCACAACATAGTTAACTGAGGCCACAACACAATTAATTGGTGTCACAGCGTAATTAAATTGGACCACAACATAATTAACTGGGTGCTATAAATAGCTGTTAAGAATGCAAAAATTAGGAGTAAAGACTGGCACAGTCAGACACAAGAGGCATACAAGGCTTATAAAGTTTAAAGTCCTTTCACCGAACAAAGAGCTGGCCCTATTAACAGCAATTTGCTGATGTATATATGCTGAGAGGGGTATCTGAGCAGTTATGGGCATTTCTAGTCCAGTGGAGCTAAACCAACTCCTTACTTACTGGGGTTGCCTGTTACCCATTTTTGTTGGCACATATCCATCTTTCTAGATGATAGTGTTAAAGCATTAGTCCTATTCTTCTTCTCAACATTCCCTGGTTGTAAGCACCAGCTGTTAGCTCTGGCAGAAAGTTCTGTTCTGGCTGATATCAACTTATAGATTTCAGTCTAGTTGCAAAACTTGAATCATGGAAATCTCTTTGATAGATCTGGCATGCAGATTTTTGGTTCCTCATAGCTCAGGCATATACGTGCTCTGACTTTGGAGAAAAGTTCCTAATTAGTTGCTTGCCCTAAACACTAACGCAGAGAACCCCCAATAGTCAAACATAATTAATAGATTAGGGATGTTACGGTTAAAAATACACACACCAACATAACTAACACTACTATAATATTGGATTTTCTCTGAGATTCCAGGGTTCCTCTTGTTTGAGGTGAGCTAAAAATGTAATACACAATTTTATGTTCATTGCCCTGTTTCATGCGTTTGAACGCTTGTGGAAAACCAAGACAAGAGACAAAGCAGCCTGCTTTTAAATCACTTCTCACTTAATTCGAAAGCACCATGGAATCATTAAACTATTTATACAATAAATATAACCCATAAACAGACGCCGGCTTTATCCAATCCAAACTTAATTTTTTGAGTAACTTTAATTTCAGTTCAAAATGACCCGAATTGTCTTCAAAAAATGTATCTTTATCAAATCATTTTAAAATTAAAAACAATGATCAATGAGTGGTTGGTTTTGAAAGAAATGCCTACGTAGTCATATCCGCACATTAATCTGAACTATATTAATTATTATGAAGTAATTTATCTGTTTCAGTGGTTTAAATTCAAAATTACTGAGTGTAGGCTAGGTGTAGTGTTTCAATGGAGCTGCTGAGAAGAAAAAAAGACGAGAAGTCAGAAGCTACAGATCAAAGACAAAGTGTGACAAAGCCAGAGAATTCACATTGCTTTTTCATTTTCAATATTACCGCTGAGGGTTACTTTATTTAATAAAACTCATATACACTCCACATTTAGCAGTTCCATGCTATAGTTACTAACTCATATGTATGTTTTATTACTTGCTTACATGTGTGTTCTACCACCATAAAATCTATGAACCGAAAAATTAACAAATATTTTGTTAGATCGGAGCGAACTTTCCATCAACCATTGAACAAATCGACGTCATTGGCGCAACTACCGGAAGTTGAAATGCTTCCGGGTCACTGCCATCGCTTCTTGTGTTCCAAAATATTATAGTCCACTTGCATGGTCGATTCATGTTATTTTATCTTAGCCTTAGTCAAGGCTTCAACTTCAGTGCAGTCGTGTCATCCCAAACGTGCTCCGTTTCAATGGCAGTGATAATCAATTGAAATGTCCCTTGCTGTCTAATTTCCCAAACTGGTAAACAAACAATTAGTCCCGCCACAAACCAGAAATATGCGCACGCAGCACATGCATTTGGCAGGTGTCAGAGGCGTCAAAGCCAACAGTTGCCACCATCAATGCAGTTTGTTGTTGATGGAAGTAGTCGGTCACAAAAAGTTGGCTATCATCATCATGTGCCCTGTCAGTTGGCGTAGACGCTCATGCATCTCCACAGATCACGATCCCTGGTTGCCTGGAACAGCTCTCTTGATGATATCCCTCCATGCCATCGTTTCAGCCTATCAAAAATAATTTTTCTGCTCTGCCTCTACTCCTCTTTCCACTGATCTTTCCAGTTGTCACGGTGTTTTCCAATGCCTATGTTCTCATTACGTGCCCAAAAAACAGTGTCTGTCTTTTTCTTATTGTTGTATATGTAGATATACTTATTAGCTTCTTTCAAACAATCGTTGTTAGTTACTTTAGCCGTCCAAATTATTCGTCTCAGAAACATCTCTGTTGCTTCCAAGTTCTTCTTAATTTGATCATTGACATTCCAAGATCCACTGCCGTACAGCAGAACAGTTTCTATGTAACATTTCAGCACTATCTTTCTGACATTAAATGAGAGCGACTTATTCCATAAGATATTTTTCAATTTCTGAAATGATGCCTTCGCTTGACCTATTCTGCTTCTAATCTCTGTCACACATTTTCCATCTGATGAGATGATTTTTCCCAGATATTTGAATATATTGACTTGTTTAAGAATTTTTCCTTCGATTGAGATAGCACAATGTGTTATCTACTTCTTTGATATAACCATTTCTTCTGCTTTCTTAATTTTCAAGGAAAGTCCCTTTTTTGACTAACTGACTGACTTTCTACCCCTCTAAGACATCACACAAGCGATAAACACCCGATGACACAATGTGCCAACATGTGAGTGAGGATCACCGTGGAGAGGTCCCAAAAACCGCGTTCAGACAATTGGCTATTTTATGGCCTGCCTATATTGCGGCCCCTGGCAAAAGCCAGGTTGCAGCTTCAAATGACAAAAAATTTTATCCTAAAAAGGACCAAACTGAGTCCCTTTTTAGCACTCTCTATCTTCAAAACACTCAGCAGTTGTAAATCCGTTGCGATTTACAAATTTGGCTATACACACGTATAATTATTACATAAGGTATTTCACCAGCCCACGCGTAAACCCCTACAGACCATATATGGATACCGCGACTCAACCGCTGAACAAAGGAAAGGCATTCCGCGTGAAAAACAGCTTACAGTGCTACAGTAAGGACTAAAATGTTAATTTATCTGCTTCTAGTTAGTTAGTTAATAGACAGATTTTC